TAGTATCAGTAAAATCTGTCCCATTCATTGAGAGACACTATATGAATGCTTAACTATTTCCCGCCATTGACGAGTTATCTCGTCTTTTACAAGAAAACGCTTCCCCGCCAAAGGCGAGTTTTTCACTGTTATACACTCGGGGGCGCGATTGTGCATCTTCTGAATGAGTACAAAACCTCCCAAACAAAAACACGTCAACAGGACGGAGAAACGAGCGATCTCTTATGTAAACAGATGCATATCAAAAAGAATGCGATCATCAGCAATAGACACCATATAAATGAAAACTGCATAATGTTACGGAGTAAAATGCCTGTGCAAGCTTTGGAGGTGTTGATGGAAGCGATTTACTGGATTTATGCTTTGATAATCGTACTGAATATTATCCAGATGTAGTTTTTGATAAAAATGTGATTTTCTCACCTTATTGCTCAAAATTATGCATTTTTATGAAACCTACCTATAGTATATTCAAGTGTTGATAAAAAAATGCTTTAAGCTAGAATAAAACAGATTTTTTTGTTTAAAAGTAGAGGCTCTAATATTTATTTTGGTGCATATTCAAATATTCATACAGCAAAATATACTGGAGGCCATCAAATTTTAGTAAAAATCATAAAAATCGCTGGCGGTGGCTGGCAACTTTTTAAAAAAATCTGGCGGGGAAAGAGTTAATGAATTTCAATGAATAAAAATATTGTTAAAAATCACACATTATTTATTTGTCAAGTCACCTTTATTTATATAGTGCTTTTAACAATACAGATTGTGTCAAAGCAACTGTACAGCATTAATTAGGAAAATTGTGTGTCAATAATGCAAAGTGACAATAGTAAACACTCATTTTTCAGTTAAAGGCAGTTCATAATTGAATTCAGTGATGTCATCATCCAGCTCAGTTCAGTTTAAATAGTATCTGTGCAATCAAGTCAACGATATCGCTGGAAATGAAGTGTCCCCAACTAAGCAAGCCAGAGGCGACAGCGGCAAGGAACTAAAACTCCATCGGTGACAGAATGGAGAAAAAACCTTGGGAGAAACCAGGCTCAGTCGGGGGGCCAGTTCTCCTCTGGCCAGACGAAACCAGCAGTTCAATTCCAGGCTGCAGCAAAGTCACATTGTGTAGAGGACTCAACTGGCTCCTGTGGTCTTGTCCCGGTGGTCGTCTGAGACAAGGTCTTTACTGGGGATCTGTATCTGGGGCTCATCTAGTTGTCTTGGTCTCTGCTGACTTTCAGGGCTGTAGAGGTCCTCTCTAGGTGCTGATCCACCATCTGGTGTACATACGTACTGGATCCGGGTGACTGCAGTGACCATCTGATCTGGATACAGACTGGATCTGGTGGCTACGGTGACCTCGGAATAAGAGAGAAAGACTAATATTAGCGTAGATGCCATTCTTCTAGCGATGTAGCAAGTATATCGGGTGTTATTTGTCACATATATTAGACCATTTTAGTGCCGTGGGTAATAGGAGGATTTTCCACCCGGCTACCACCGCAAGTATATTTCAAACCTGTGGGAAGCAATGCCCTGTTGCCACAAATTTAAAGAGACTTGATAAAATAAATTCCTGTTTAGAATATATCCACAGGTGCATTTTTACAGAAAAGATTTTAGTTTGTTCTTCCATTCCTGGAACTCTTGAACACAATTTTTACTGCTTTGATATGTTTGGATTAGCTTTCAGTGAAAAAATAATAATATTTGTCCCTTAGTTTTAGAAAATACCCTGTTTTTGAGAAGTGGACATGGTAATTTTGGTGGGTAAATATCATATTTACACAAGCAAATGGAAGAAATGTAACCCCTCTTTTGCTATATTTCATGATTTTGTGAGAATATTTCAGTTTGCTTACAAATACTTAAGAAAACAACAAAGTAAAAACATGGGAAACATGCTTCTCATTTTCAGAATAGTTACTATTTTAGTGCTGTCCTCATTCATATCTTTGTTATAGTCCATTAAACTTCAGATCTTGCTTTTTTTGCCAGTGTGGTGTGCCAGCTATAATAAAAATAAGAAATGTTTCTTGAGTAACAATCAACATGATTTCTGAAGGATCATCTGACTCTGAAAGCTGGAGAGAAAAACACATTTTAAAATATTCAAATAGAAAGCAGTCCTTTCAAATTGTAGATTTACTGTTTTTTACTGTATTTTATTAAAAAATTCAACCTTACTGAGCAGAAGAAAATCGTTTAAAAACCAATCAAAAAATCTTACTGACTTTTTTTTTTTTTGAATGGTGGTGTATATTATAGGCTATATTTTATTTATAATATATATTCTCAAGGCATGTTTTAACCCATATACAACAGCCCACATTAGCCCATATATATTTAAAAATGTCACATATGTCAAAAAATGTCACAAGAATGCCACATGACTTTTACGACATATTTGATTTGACTGGACTTGAAATATCATTATCATTACGGGGGGTGAAAACCAGAAGGGCGTAAGTGACATTTTGGTATAGATATAGATATAGATAAAACTATACATTTTTGTTTTGGCCCTCCTGTAAAGTTGGTGAAATGTCACTTACGCCCTTCTGGTTCTCACCTCTCGTGGGCGGGGCCGAGATCCATGGGTGCGGAGCGAGGCCGGTGGAGTAAATGATAATGAGTGACACCTGTGCCACTCACCGGGCTCGAGTGAGTGGAAGGAAGGATAAAAGGAGGAGTAACGACACCTCTCTCCTCCTTCACTGTCGTCGCTCCTCCTTTTATCCTTCCGGATCTCCTCCGTGGGACTCGTGACAGGTGAGTGGTGCAGGTGTCGCTCATTATCATTTACTCCACATTTTTATCATGCCAAAATGCTTGCTGTTGTTTTTATGGGAAGTTCGGCAGCTGTGCTACAGAAAGCTAAGCGAACACTTATGTAAAGAGTCGTTGCAATGGAAATGATACACGTCTAGTCTAGAAGCGGTAGTATTGGTGTAAACTAGCAGCTAACACTAACACTAGATCCCATTATAATCAGTCGTTCGGTAACAGAGCGAGTGCTACAGTAAATGGATGCCGCGTTATATTTCTGACACACTCCACGTGCTTGCGCTACCGACAAGTTGATAAAGAAATATAGAATGTGCGCTTCGATGCATCCAGTGTAGAGATGGCATTAGGATGTGGCAGACAAGTTTCAGCTTATACATCTTTGGTGTAAACTTAAATGTAAACGCCCCCAAGAACACCTCAGCGCCCCCCTTTCAAAAATATTGCTTCCAGCACCAAACCTCACCCCCCGATGCTCTCCGCCCTCGTTGAGAAACACATTAATTACTCACCTTTCTGGGCCTGAGAATGTTTCAGTTGCATTGCTGTCTTTGCAGGGTCAGAAAGCTCTCATATTTCACCAAAAATATCTTAATTTGTGTTCTGAAGATGAATGAAGTTCTCACGGGTTTGGAACGACATGAGGGTAATTAATTACAGAATTTTCATTTTTGGGTGAACTATCCCTTTAAACTGCAGTTTAATTAATTTGCGATTTGATGAGCACACTGTCATTTTTTTTTTATATTATATTTTAATATTTCCATTTTAGTTCGACTGACAGATGCTTTTCCAAAGCAATGGTGCAAAACACACAGTGATCTTTTATGTTATGAGAAGTGTAAAAATATTTTCCATTATCAAACACTGGCAGGCTGCTAGGTAATTAATGGGACACACACTTCAAAGTTGCAGGTTTACCGGTACTACGGTAGTATCGCAATACTAAAGGCTCCAAAATACTGGTGGTGCCACTATTTTTTAAACGGTAGTATCGTCATTACGGTTCTATCATAAGTAAAGTTGTATGTGGGGCAGTCGCTAAAATTTTCAAACACTTGTGCCGTCTTTTTTTGTCCTTTTGCCTTTCTGCGGTGCCTTTTAAGGGTGCAAAATGCTGTGTAGAATTTGCGCCTTATGCCGGTTTCACACTGGATGCCCAAGCAGAGCGGAGGCAATGCAGAAGCTGTGCAAATGCAAAGCGGGAGCAGCACGTGCCCATTGAGCTTCCACACTGGCAGCGTTTATCACGCACAGCTGGACCATGGCTTGTGCACTGCAAATATAGACGAGTATCGTTCGTTCGGTCACGTTTTTCAGGTGTTTTCCTACAACTGTCTCATGTGCTTTGATTTATGATATGGGCAGCATACTCTGCTGTGATGCGGTCGTGTTTTCCTCTGTCCCACACACACATGTTTGCATGATAAAAGTAATCTTAACGTTAAGATATACATATAAACTATAGTTTTCATAATTTAAATGAGCCTTTGAAATTTGGGCAAAAACTCCTGGCAATGATGTGTTTTCGTGCATTTATTAAGCTTATTTTTTCATAGAACTGAATGTCATATGGTGGTTGGGAAACACGGAACAGCTCACTTATTTGATTTTATTGTGAAATTTGTTTTTTTTTTTCGTGTTTACCCATGTCTATTTTGAACAAGAACAATGCATTGTGGCTTTAATTCACAGTGAGCGGCGCAGCAAAAATAGACTCGGGGCCAAAACGATCGCTGCACTGCCGCTTCTGCTCTGCTCCTGCTACACGCTGAATACTGTAACCTGTTAACATGGGCACCGGAAAAAATATGCGCTTCTTACGTCCTGCTTATGTGTGTGGTGTGAAACGGCCTTATTTAATATGCATATATCTCTCATGGCATCGCGATACTACTTGGTATCGTGATACTTCAGCTGGTATAGTATCGTAACGTGGTTATGGTATCGTGACAACCCTACACTGGTGTATGACAGATGTCAATTGATTTAAAAAGTTTAACTAAAAATTAAGATTATTCAGAGATATTATTCTGAAAGTTATTTTTTTTATTTATTTTATTTTATTTTTTTGAATAAGCTTCAATTTTGTCATAGTCTGTCTGAGGTAGGCTTGGTTATCGTTCACACAGCACACATTATTGGGTTAATTTATGGAGCTATTTAATTTTACTGTTGTGTAATAAGTTTGACCAATATCTGTGCACCTCTTTCAGGTTGTAGCCTCCAAGGTGGCCAATGCCAAGCTGGAAAGTGAGCTGAAGCAGGAAAAGGCAAATCTGCTGGATATGCAGAAGATCTTGTGTGATGAGCGCAAGCTCATGTCTTCCATGGATATGGAACATCAGAGTCAACTGGTAGAAATGGAGCAGAGACACCAGGAGAAGGTCTGCTTTCATAAAAGCTCTTCATAGATGTTATAATGCTTTTGTCGTAGTAAAGCATAAGTCAGAGTTCCCTTTAAATTACTTTTTTTTTCATTCAATAAATGTTTCATTTAATGATAAACTTTATCACTTATTTTGCTAGTAGGTTTTCTCTTTAAGAGTTTAATTAAATTATTTAACGGAATGTTTGTGTAATAATTTAAACTAACTGCAAGAAAGGTTAGTTTAAGGTTTGTTTAAAATGGTGAGCAGTTACATTACCTAAAATGCACACTTTTCCTTATGCATTGATATACAGTGTTGCTGATATATGAGATTTTGCTGTATTTGGCTGAGCAGTCATTTCGGTAGCTTGCCAATGTACTCGATTTCTCTAATACATAAAATAAGTAAGCTTGACCAGAGTTCTTGTGGGGAGGAGAATTTATTGATGGCAGTACAGGGCTCCAGCCTGCGACCAATATTTTCTGCTGGTGCGGCTAAATTTTGTGAGCAGTCGCACTGGTGTGACCACCACATTGCCCACCTCATAAGCGCTGCCATTTCTGTTGCGTATGAGAAACATCAAACGGCAAACGAGACAAAAGCATGACGAAACCGCTCTACTCGTTTGAGCTGCGCAGCGCGGACCGTTTATCAGCTTGGACCAATAATTGAGTGCAGCACAAACAAACTGGTCCGAGCTCAGAACAGGTTTACTCGGGAACCAGTTTTGATCTAGTGACACTGTTACTGTACATTGCTGTGAGATTCAGTGAGAAGCATTTGAATTTGCCGCAGAATGAACAAGGTTGCTGCGAAATCTAGTGAAGCATTCAAATTCTGCACACAATTCTGTTATAAACAGATCAAACAGCGCTGACAAATAAAACCAGAAGTAGTAATGCTAACTATGACCATGGTGTTTTGGCAGATACAGTCGAATGTTATTACATTATTCATTTCAGTGTTTGTACAACCTTTTAAGAGAAGTTCAAGCACTTCTCAATGACTTTCAAATATTTCACACAACTATTTGCAGCATTTTAAAGCTCTAAAAATGACCAAATTAAATTGTATTTTTATTGGGATGACCAAAATTTACTTTGTGGTAAAGAAACACTTATTAAAATTTAAAAAAGACATCAAATTACCACTTTAACCAGTAAATGGCATCAGATCAGCACTTATTGGCTTATTAGCCATTCATTTCCACTTTTCGACTGAATCACACATAAAGCAAGTAAAGTGCGCTCCTTTTATAATCACTGAAGTTGTCAGTCGGTTCAGTATAATACTGTAGAAGAATAATGGTACATTTAATAAGAGTGGAATATATAAATTTTCCATAAATTAGATTTTGCACATTACTGTTGTTAATAAAAGTAAATGTTGTATGCTTCCCAACTTGTTTTACTGTCAAATGTGTATTACTGAGAAATAAACTTTTATTATGTATAATATTATTAGTAACTGCACTACTTATTGTAAAACAGTAGTAGTAATTTTATGATAAAATTATCTTTATTTTTAATACCCCCTCACACCACAGTATAGGCCATCTTGATCAAACCCCTACAGACACAGTTGATTGCATCTAAGGGACAGTCACAATGTAAATGCATCCAACAAAAGATAACTGATATGCATATAATGTTTCAATATATTTCACTCATGCCACGTGTCTGATGTGTTGTCCAGGTGCTGTATCTCCTCGGTCAGCTCCAGAGTAAGCCTGTGGCACAGGAGAAACTAAAGGAGCAGCAGGAGGAGGTGTCTAAACGGGAGCACGAGCTAATGCAGCGTCTAAAATTTCAGGTGTGAATGTCTCCATACATTGCATATGTGTGACCCTGGACCACAAAACCAGTCATAAGGGTCAATTTTTCGAAATTGAGATTTATACATCATCTGAAAGCTGAATAAATAAACTTTCCATTGATGTATGGTTTGTTAGGATAGGACAATATTTGGCCGAGATACACCTATTTGAATATCTGGAATCTGAGGGTGCAAAAAAATATAAATATTGAGAAAATCGACTTTAAAGTTGTCCAAATTAAGTTCTTAGCAATGTATATTACTAATCAAAAATGTATTTTTGATATATTTACAGTAGGAAATTTACAAAATATCTTCATGGAACATCTTTACTTGATGTCCTAATGATTTTTGGCATAAAAGAAAAATCAATAATTTTGACCCATACAATGTATTTTTGGCTATTGCTACAAATATACCCCAGCGACTTAAGACTGGTTTTGTGGTCCAGGGTCACATATTGTTTTTACCAGGTTCTTAATAACTTAATATTCTTTTATGAAAAGAACACAAGACTAGTTGTTCTGTAACAAAAATGATTGTGTTGAATTTGGGTATACTAAGTTTCTTTGTGTAATATGTAAAATACAGTGAAAAAAGATACATTTTTGGTTTGATGAGCTATGCAGTCATTGTTTTATTGCACACATGCAGTGTCAGAATTACCTATTAAACATGACATAATTTGGCAAGTAAAATGGTGAACATTTAAAAATATAAGGATGATTAGTAAATAAATATATTGCTTCATCACAGGAAGAGGAAATTGAAAAACTGCGAAAACTCAATGATCAGAACCAGAAACTCATGGATGAAAATGAACAGTACAAGCAGGTATAAGACTTTTTTCTCACAAATTTCATCATACTGTAATTTAGCAAATTGGAAACTGAATTTCTCAATTGAGTTTTCCATCTAAGTTATGCATCAAATTTCTGAACTCTAAAAACATTTTGTTTTGTGGGTGGATCTCCACAGAAATTACTTCTGGCCCAGCTGACCAGTGCAAAGAAAGTCCTGTCTTCTGTGAATGAGTCACCTGATACATCTTTTGAATATGTTCCACCTAAGGTGAACCTCCTCTTCTCCAAGGTTTTTTTTTTTTTTTTTTCAAAATCAGATTTAGGATTTAGAAGTCTGGGATTTATTCTGTCTTTTTCCCCCCACATCAAGCCCAAAGCCAAAACCTACTCCACTGCTCGGGCACGTCTGCAAGAGCCTATAGATCTTGATGAACTCATCAACTCCCTTGATGAACCGTCAGAGTCAGAGAAAGAAGAGGATGAGTGGCGTCCAGAGAAAAGCGACAGAGCACGACGAGGCTCTAAGAAGTCAAAAATGAACGGCGTGAGTTTTGTGACAGTGATGCATAGATTGTAATCTATGATCTTGAAAGTTACAGTCAAGTATATTCACCAGGATATGCCTTGGAGTTTGTTGCAGCTTTATATAGCTGTTTCAAAACTGTATAGTGCTTCTTCCTGGAGGCTTTACTTTTTAGCAAGCCATTTATGTATGATTCTGTCTCCTCTAGTGTGCATGTCGGGGCCGCTGTGTTAATAAACTTTGTCGCTGCCGCAAGGGAAAAATGACCTGTGGGGAAAACTGTCTCTGTGACCATGAGAAATGTCGCAACATGGAGAACCGTAGCAATGTGGTTAGTAGAATATGTTCTTTTAAAGAGCCAGGGGTTGTTTGTTTACCCTGTGGATGGCCAATTCCTGACGTTATTTCTTCTGCTATTGTCCTCAGGATCAGACTGAAATAAGTGATGTGTCTAAGGACTCTGCTGCAATTCCTGAGGACCCTACAGCAGTCAGCCCACGAGATGCTACTTTTTTTAGACCCCCTAGTGTTCCACCTACTAAGAAGGTAAGACCAAAAGTGATTTTTTTTCATTATGAAATCTTTCTAGAGACATCTTTCATTATATCTCTTTCTAACGGAATGGTTTACTCAAAAAGAAAAACCGCTATGCTTTTTCATATTCTTCCATATTATTTTATATATTTTCATATGATGTAATACAGAATTCATACAAGGATATGCAATCAATACATGAACATGTTTCTGTTTGGCTCAACTGTCAAAAATGAAATTCTTGAAGTTTGATAATAATCGCTATTCTCTACTCTCATTGAATGTTTTTTTTAATGGCCGGTCTTACTAAAAATTATTGTAGAAGCGACAAGTACATAACAAGCCAGAAGTAACTTTGATGCAAGAAAAAAGTGAACTATGTCCTCAGGTTTAATAAGTGCTGTTGTTGATTGCCACAAAAATAAGATTATAAAATTTTCATATAGAAGACCAATACATTAGAGAGAATTGTCTATTTGTCCAAGCACAGCACACAGGTGGACACTCGTGTGTGTGTGTGTGTGTGTGTGTGTGTGTGTGTGCGGGATGCGGGAGAATAAAATTATTTGCGAGGCTCCCGCAAAATAGAAGTATCTAAAAATAAAACAACAATTATAAAAGCTTTGTAAGATTGCGATGAACTGAGAGCTTTTTAGTGATTATAAAGGGATGGCTCTTTGTTCGCATTCTGCCAGGCCAAACCATGCACGCAGCAGCCCATGCTTGCTTTTCTGTTAAAAATAACAGTGGTTTGAGAATGTTGATGCTTTAATAACAAGTATTTTATCAGGAGCATTTATGTTGGAATGTTTTTGTAAATTTCATGAATGTATTGAGAAAAATCTACATAGGCTACTTTTATGGGGGGTGGGAGCGGGACAAAACATGAATGTTGCGGGTGGGAGCGGGACAAGATAACACATATTTCAGGGCTCCAGACAAAAAAAATCAATTAAGGAGCCATTGGCTCCAATAAGAAACAAAATTAGGCACCAAATTATTTTTTTGGGTGCCACAGAATGAACATCTTTTATTTTTATTTTTGAACACTAACATTTCAGTCATACTGTCATGTGTTTATGTCTCATCTTTTCTTGTCTTTATCAGCATTTTAATCCATCTTGTAGATGTCCTGGAAACCAAGGTTCACTTAAATTGGGAACTAAATGTCTTTTCCAACTTAAGAAATAAATACGGTCACAAAGAATTGTGCCAATATCTCAAACCATAATTATTTCAGCATCACTTGGCTATTGTGTGTAGTTTGGGCTCCTCTTCCTTTTTTTATGTTTTAAAAATGTTTTAATCTAATTAATTACACAATGTGCTGATTAATTAATTGAATTACTTTCAAATAATTAGATTGATTAATTAGCACATCATGTGCCGATTAATTAAACCGACTAATAAAGTCATTATTAAAGATAATTTAATATCAATTAAAGTCATTATTGTGTTAAATTAAAAAAGCACTGAATAGAGAAATATTTTGATTCAACATACAAAAACACAAATATACTGTATTACAATATACTACTCTAAATATAAAACTAAAAGAGCCAGTAGGTGGTGGCAAATCGCTGTGTTAATGAGTGAGCCATTCAGTCATTCATTCAACCGATTTGTTCAAACGGCTGATTCATTCAGAAGCAAACAGTGGCTGTGTTTGAAATGGCATACTAACATACTGCTTACTGCCTACTGCCCACTATACAGTGTATACTGCCTACTATGTTTTAAAGAATAGTGTGTGAAACAGTATACAATAAGCAACTAAATGTTTCAGAGTAGTATGCTACAGTGTTGTCACATGACAAATATTGAACCTTAATTCAGCACAGCTGTCGAGGCTGTTACCTTACAAATAAATGTGCTAACTCTTCTTTTATATTCAAAGGCTTGTTAATAAGGGTTCATACTAGTAAACAATGCTATATTGCCCAATTAAACTAATTTCATAATTAACTTTACATATTGAACAGAACTGAATCAATATCATATTTTTATTGAAAATAAATGCCTTTCCGATCTGATATGTGATGGGAAAAGGAGAAGAACGAGAGGCGGATTTGAACACGAGTCGATCGCATCAATTACTTCTGCTTTACAGCGGAATTGAATTGTTTGCATAATTTAAATATTATTGTTATTTATATATTATATTACTGCAATATTATTATTAATATCTTTGAAACAATCTGTGCTGTATAAAGCGTTTTAGAGATAAAGGTGACGTCATTTGACTTGATCGGAAACATGCCTTAGAGATTAAGGTACAATCTACTGTATGTTCTACTAACATAACTTGAAAATGAAACGTCACGTGGAACGCGTTGTGTTGTGGGAAACGGTATTCCATGCAGTGTCTTCAGATGCATACATCAAATTTCAGCAAATGTAGCAGGTAATCCGGGAATTCCATGCATACAGAAAATGCACATACTATTCACAGTATAAACATTGCATACTGCAATATAGTAGGAGTTGTATGGTAGTTTGACATTCCAAACACAGCTTCTGTACTGATTTCAGTGTACTTGAGTTATATTTAGCAGATTCTGGCAAATATAGTAAACGACTGTATTTATAAATGGCTCACTGAATAATTAGCTCAATCGATTCGTTCAAAACCGTGGATTCATTCAGTAATGAAACACCGCTGTGTTAAGACGCACAGCAGTTCTGCTTTCGTTGATGAACTTGCACAAAAACAGACAGTATTGTATCTAAAATGTAACAATATCAAATTATTGTTTATTGAAAAATCAATATCACATTTGCAATCGTGCAGATATTCTCGAAAAAAAAAAACAGCTCTCTTGCTTGAGACAAGCCTTAAATTCATAAATATATTTTTTCTTACCCCGATATTATTTGCACCTTTATCTTATCTTCATTTGTAAGTAAAAACTTTAAAGTAACCTATTTTTCTTTCGACCAGCCAATGATGATTCTGAAAGAAAACAAGCGGTGTTTGTTATAGTAACACATGCAACTTTAACATGCATCTGACGGACAGATAAAACGCGTGCTCGTATTTCAGTGTTATTTTAACAAATAGTTACTTTAGTACAACAGCATAAAGTTAAAGAGGGTGAATTTTATTACTCGACTGAATCCATTTCAGGGGCTACCAAGTTTAAATTATTATTATTACAGTTTAAAAGTAGTCAGAGCTATGCATCTTTATATTTACAAGTAAATCTCTATATTATGCGTCGGCTACTTTCTATCCAACCCCCCCTACATCTAGTTTTGATGTCCATCAGGGGGATCAAGCCTTCTATAGGTACTATAGTACCAACTGACTCTCAGCATTAGTTGAGAGATTTTTTTTCCTTGAAAATTTGACATGTACTCTACCTGATATATATTCAAAATAATCGATATTGAATCGAATCGAATCGCAAGCTTGTGAATGAGAATCGAATCGAATCATGAAATTTGTGTTAAACCCCAGCCCTAATTTTTTGTGTTCGAGTTACTCGAGGAATCGTTTCAGCCCTAGTTCACACATTAATAGAATACAGCATATAGATAATAAGAAGCCATATTATTGAATATAAATGAATTGTTAACGATATATTGTTAATGCCTACACAGCTGACAGCTTTACCTGTTGTAGTTTGTTCAAGTTGCGCATGAAATAGACACTGCTTTTCTGCACTTTTACTTCGAGTCTCCGCTCTCTCATGCTGCACAACTGGAGCTGCTTTCAGCAGGTGTGCCATCAATGCTGGTGTTCAGCAGAGATAAGGACTGTTTGAAAGTCTTTTTTCCACTAAAACTTTGATGCGCTTTGTCTGAGTTTATTACGTCAACATAACAAAAGATGTGATCACAAAACAATCAGAAACAAAGTAAATTACATGCACATTTTTAAATCATAACATGCAAATTGATATAGTCGCCAGTGGCGACCTCAGCAAAAACTTAACTTGCAAATTAATATTTTTGGTTGCAAATGAGACCGTTTTAGTCGCAGTCTGGAGTCTTGTATTTCTGTGGGTGTGGGACAGAATCCTGCGGGAGCGGGACTAAAAAATCCATCCTATGCAGGTCTCTACCTGGAACTAAGATAAGCCCTCATGTCGCTCTGAGTTTCGCCCCGGCCGGTCGTCCGACCAATTAATACCATTTGATAGGCTGTCCATGAATGCTGATATTTAAATGGTAGTTCCATTTAGTCCCCTACAGTTGCCTATGTAACAACTTAGTTAAAACTCAATCAATAATCAGAGGTTATGGCTAGTACTATGAAGTATGTCGTCAAATGCTTTCTAATACCTCAATAGTATTTTTGTCTAGTATAATCCATTCAAAACGTAAAATTCTCAAAAGTAAGTCTAAGAGTAAAAGATGCATACCTGATTTCAGAAGGATACAGAGGTTGGAGTGTACACGTCTGGCTACATTGTCGTATCTTCGCTACTTAGCAACCACTGAGGACCTAATAAAAACAAAAGAAATGCTTTACTGAAGTTTTGCTACATTATACATGGGAGGCATTTGGTTTCTGCACACACACATACTGTCACTTTTTCTCATCCTTCTTGCACGCTCTCATTTCTGCACAGCATTTTTGGGCAATGTTCTTAAAGCTGAACATCCCACAAAATGACTATAAACTGTGGTTATTGAAAACAATGAATTGAACCTTATGTTAAACATTCATGACTAATTATTACCATAAATTAATTCACAACATACATAATCACCCGAGTCTTTCAAAACCTTTCCTCAAGTACAAAGACCAAGATAAACATTCTCCAAATGGAGACATGAAATAACAGTTGGAAGATGCATTGGCTAGGATCAAAGACCAGGGGACTTAGCACTCTGTTGAGGAACAACAGGTAATTTGGATCTGAGACCCTGGGAAAGTGCACACTCTGCAGTAGGTAAAATACCTCTGAACTTTCTAACTTTTTTTTTTTTTTTTTACCTTTTAGTCTGTTTCTTTGAACACGAGACCATTGTACTAGTCTGAGACATTTCAAATGATACCAAAG